TAGATACGCACACACATGTGTATATATGTATATACACATATATAAGTGTACACACTCATACTCACGCCATCGTGCCTGTGGCACGAAGTAGAGTTCCACAAGGCTCACAGCTGTGCTGCTGCTGCAGCCAAGATCGTAGTCCCTTAAGGGCCCAGACCAGAAATTTCCCCGGCTCTTCCCGGCGCTCTTGGGCGCTCCTAGGGTGTTCCGCATGGGCCTCTGGGACAATTGCAACGACTCAAACGACCCGGAGAACTGCATGGAGCCACCCAACACGCGCCCAAGGTAGTCAAAGATAGTCAAGGAGCGACCCTGGACGGCCCAAGAGGCCTCCAAGACGCCAAGAAGACCCAAGAGTGTCCCAAAATGCAAAAATCGCCCCATTCCCTAAGGGACACGTGTACTTTCAGCATGTTCGCCCTTTGGGCTTTCACAACGTCGAAGACGGCCTTAGAGGCCCCCAAGATCGCCCAAAGACCCAAAGACGGCCCAAGAGGCACCAAGAGGGCTGCAAGACCGCCCAAGGGGGCCCCAAGACGGCCCAAGAAGCCCCGAAGGCGCCCAGGACGGCTCCACGAGGAGGCCCACAAGGTGAACCCGAACGAACACTTCGAGCCTTCGGCCCTAAGACGCCCCCAGGAGGCCCCAAGAAGCCCCCGAGAGGCCCGAAGCGGCCCCCAAGAGGCCCCCAAGAGGGCCCCGAGAGGCTCCCAAGAGGCCCAACTACTGGTTCCCAAACTTGCCCCCGAGAGCGACCCGAAGAGATCCCCAATAACATCCCTGAGGACTCTGACCCACAAGCCAAGCACGGTGGCGGGATGGGCCGAAAATCATTCAATCCGCCGCCCCCTGTCGATTCATCGCAAGGGTGCCTGGCGTGCTGGACCTTCTCGGTTTTGGTGTTGGTTCTTTTTCCGAAAGAACTCCCCCTGGGGCTTCGGCCCGTCCCGCCGGGGTCCCGGGAAGGATCTCAAAACCTGGTTGCAAAGGTTTTCCCTGCTCCAGACGGCTCCAAGACGGCCCAAGATGGTCTCCAAGATGCATCCAAGACGGCCAATATGGCTTCCAAGACGGCGAAGATGGCTCCAAGATGCCTCCAAGACGGGCCAAGATGCACTCAACACGGCCTAATATAGCCTCAACATGGCCCCAGACGGCCCAAGAGGCCTCCAATACGGCCCAAGAGGCATCCAAGGGGTCCTCCAGGAGGGCCCGAGGAGGCCAAAATCATTGACGTTCCTTAGGTGTTTGAAGGATTTTGGCATTTGCTTCTTCTCTGCATTCCGACGGCTCAAGACGGCCCAAAGGGCCCCCAAGATCGCCCAAGAGGCCCCCAAGAGGGCCCCATGACGGCCCAAGTGGCCTCCAAGACGGCCCCAAGAGGGCCCCAAGAGGGCCCCAAGACGGCCCAAGCGGGCTCCAACACGCCCAAAATGGCCTCCAAGACGCCCAAGATGGCCTCCAAGACGGCCCCGAAGCGCCCCAAGAGCGCCCCGAGTCGGCCCATAGAGGCCCCCCAAACGGCTTCCGACGGCGTCAGACGGACCAGTAACCCACCAAGATGCCCGAAGTTGGCTCGAAGCTGGCCCGAGACGGCCCAAGAGGCCCCCAAGAGGGCCTCCAGGAAGGCCAGAAAAGGCCAAAAACATTGATGTTCCACGGGTGTTTGAAGGATTTTGACGTTTGCTTCTTTTCGGCCTTCCGACGGCCCGAGACGGCCAAAGAGCCCCCAAAGGTCGCCGAAAGATCGCCCAAGAGGCCTCCAAGATGGCCTCAGAACGGCACAAGCGGGCCCAAAGACAGCCCCAAGAGGCCCCCAAGACGGCACAGGAGGCCTTTAAGACGCACAAGATGGCCTCCAAGACGGCCCTGGAGCATTCCAAGAGGGCCCCAAGTCGGCCCGTAGAGGCCCCCCAAATGGCTTCCGACGGCGTCAGACGGACCAGGAACCCACCAAGATGCCCGAAGTTGGCTCGAAGCTGGCCCAAGACGGCCCAAGAGGCCTCCAAGAGGGCCTCCAGGAAGGCCCAAAAAGGTCAAACTAATTAGTTCCCATTGGTGTTTGCAGGATTGTGGCATTCGCTTTGTTTCTGCCTTCCGACGGCCCGAGACGGCCCAAGTGCCCCCAAAGATCGCCCAAAGAGGCCCAAGACACGGCCCCAAGAGACCCCCAAGACGGCCCAAGAGGTCTTCAAGACGCTCAAGATGGCCTCCAAGACGGCCCAAGAGCCCTCCAAGACGTCCTCCAAGAAGGCCCGAAGGGTCAAAATGGCCTCCAGATGGCCAAAATTACCTTCAAGATGCCCACGTGTTCCCCGAAGGCAGGGCGGCGGTGATTCGCCGTAGGCGTCTTCGATAGATATCCACCACAGAGCCGAGCACCCAGACGGACGCGTGGGCAGAAGAGTGCGTTGTTGGGCAGCTCTTCAAAAATGTACAGACGGATTGCGGGCACCCAGAGACACGAATATATCTATGTGTATATATATAGATATAGATATAGAATGCCGACTCTGGCTGCCCGAGCCGAAGCTCACTATCGAAGTGCCTACACTTCCACGAACCACCAGCCTCTCCAGGCGAGCCAGCCACAAGAAAGCGAGCCACCCAGAGACACGCCGCGCCAAAGCTAAGACGTATTCTGCGTTATGGGAGAATTACAGACCTACCAACGAGTTTCCCCAGCCAACCATCCGCCCGATCCCAACCAACCCTCTGGCCAACCCTTGGCTGACCCTCCTGGCCAATGCCACCCCAACTAACCCTCCGGCCAACCTTGGCCAACCCTCCCTGCCAACCTCTCTGGCCAGCCCCAGACAAGCCATGTCAGGCCCTCCCCAGACCAGACCCCATGGAACCTTCCAAGTATGTGGATATCAACTGTCGCGGGGACGTGTCCCAGGGACTCGGAAAGCGGTGGATATGGACAGTTACCAGCCTACCTGCTCTGGCGGACAGATGCCCAGACCCGCCGCTCCTCGGGACCCTCGGGCCCGACTCCGAGGCGGCGGAGAATCAGACGCACAACAAATCAGGCCAGCCCCCATGGCACCATAAAATCCTGACTACCTACCAGACCACCCCGACCCAACCCGAAGACCCGAATTTCGGGTTGGGGGGGCACGGGCTTCATATGTGTTTTTCGATGTTCCCCGACCCCCCCCCACTGGAAATGGAGGGCAAATCGGGGTCTTCGGGTTCGTTGGGGTGTTAGGAGGCAACTACTGGGAGGTCTCCGTCGGAAAGATTAAAGAAGATTCAGCCCCATTGGGGGGCTGCTATGCCGGAATGGGCCTCGGATGAAGCCAGATTAAGCGGGATCAAGCCGGATGAAGCGGGATGAAGCCAGATCGAGCGGGATGGAGCCGGATTCTCCCAGGAGCTGCATCCGAAGGGGAGGCTTGGTGGGCGGTGAAGTCCGGGGCCGCCTTCCCCAGGAGATGCGCAAGCAGGCTCCGCCCCCCCCCGCGCCGAGCCGCGCCCTGCCCCCGCGCCGCGCGCTCCGCCCAGCACCCCGCCCCCCCCCACCCCCTCCCCCCTCCGACGGGCCACAGCTCCACCTGCGGCGGCGACCACACGGGGCTCGGGTTATGCTGTTCCCATCCTGCTTACAGTGGGGGCGCGGCCACAAGAAGCCCTCGCAAGACACCGAACCCTGAGAAGCCGCCAGGTTTCCTGCCCAGGGCTGAGGCTTCTTAAGCGACGGCGTCGCACGGAGAAAACCTAGGGGGCCCTGGCCCGAGCAGTTCCTTAGCAGGCCGCGCTCATAGAATACGCCAGCACGGCTTGGGAAGAAACCCATGGCGATCTGGGATGTAAACTTCATAGGATTGCCCGAAGTGCAACTGGGAAGAAACCCAGGGGATCCTGGACACGAAAGTTTCTTGGCAACCGCGAGAACCCATCGCGCAACACGCGGCGCGAAGAAACCAAAGGCACCTTGACGAAAGACATCAGGTTTATTGATGCGCGCCCAAATTGTAAGGACCACATCCCAGAAATAATTTCGAGCACCCAGAAAAGTGTCGAAAGAGTGTCGAAAGAGTGTCGAGAGAGTGTCGAGAGAGTGTCAAACGAGTGTCTCCCAGGGCCCGACACGTGAAAACCCCTGAGTTTGGGGGTACTTGTTCTGGTGCTCGAAATTCTTTCTGGTGGTCAAGGCTAAAGCAGGTTGGAACATCATAAGGCTCGGGGCGGAGGGGGAGGGCCAGGACGAGGGGACGACGAGGAGGAGGGAGGCACAAGGATCGAGGCAGCGAAAGCATCGAGCGAGGCACGTGGATCAGCGACGGGTCCCGCTTCCATGCGCGATCCATGCGCTCCATCGCCAAGCGAGGCGGCACCGGTAGCACTGTTCGGGGGGGACTCACCCCGATACTACGATCTTGCGCACACGCGCGAAATCCACGGATCCGTAATCCATGATACCGTGTGCCCGAAAAGATGCGACGATTACAGGGCAAGTCCCGACAAGCCGGCAGATCTCACCCATGAGCAGCTGGCGACAACTGGGGCAAGAACATGACCCCCCTGTCAGACAGCTCGCCGTTTCTGTCGGGGGGGGGCGCTGGGGGCTCCACCAGGCCAGCTCGCCCTTCCACTCTTGGGCGGGTGGGACGAGGAAGATGAAGGGGCCCCAGGACACACAAATAAATACACACAAATAACAGGATTCCCCATATTTCCCCATATTCTCAGGGTTTTTGTCGCCCTCCCCACTTCCCTTATCTTCCCATAGTTTCCTGGAACTCGACGATTCATTGTCTCTGTGTTTTTGTTCCCCTCCTGAGAAGAGGGGGGGAGGAGGCAAGAGGAGAAAAGGGGTGGTGACCCAGACCCCCGACGTCGCGATGTTGTGGGCACTCGTGAGAGAGAGAGAGAGAGAGAAGTTCCCTCCTCCTCCTCCTCCTCGCCCTCCTCCTCCTCCTCCTCCTCCTCCTCGCTCTCCTCCTCCTCCTCCTCCTCCTCCTCCTCCTCCTCCTCCTCCTCCCCCTCCTCCTCCTCCTCCTCCTCCTCCTCCTCCTCCTCCTCCTCCCCCACCCCCACCCCTTCCCGCCGCACTCCCCCCCTCGCCCTGCCCCCCTTGGCTCACGAGGTAGAGGCAACAAAATTGCGGGCACGGAGAGCGCCAACGGCGGCTGCCGATGGGTTAGGAGGGAACTGATGGGAGGTCCTCGCAAGCATGATCAAAGGGTACTGAGCCAGAGCAGGGGACAACTGAGCCCAATCGGGCTGGAATATAAAAGGGTGATGAAGCCCTATTTCACATGGATTAAACCCGGATTGAATGGGATTGGGCCAGACTAAACCGGTTTCCGACCACGGGTATACCAGCAACGATGCTAAGCTTGACCTCCCAAGAATTGCAACCACCACCAAAAGAGGGCCGATCGTAGTGCGCGAACGGCGGCCGTTATGGGGCTAGACAAGACGAGACGATAACATGACCATAACTGTGCGGAGGTCCGCGCGGATTTCTGGGGACGGCGCCGGAGCCCCCTGGAAGCGCCTCCAGCACCGCCCCGCGCGCGCGGAGCGCGCCAGGGAGAGGGACCCAGCGCCGATCCACTATGCAAATCCGCGCGGACCTCCGAAGATGCGTGTTCATGCAGTTTTCTGTTCTTCGATAGACGTCAGATACGACGACTGCGCTTGAGCGGGTTCGGGGATGGTTGATATCATGATCGGCCTCGGCAATGGAAACACAGCCTTTGGGAGGGGCTTGGCCACTGTGATGCGGCCGGTGAGCAGTGTCTTGAAGATCGTCAAAATTCGGCCCAATACTCGGATCTACGTGTTGAGGATGTGACGACGGGCACCCAAGTGTCTTCAAGTGGGATGCCACGCCTGCGATGCTGCCACGGAGGGGGGCGAGCGGCTGTAGGGCGGGCGTGTTGCAGAAGCGCCCCGGAAAGCAGCGAGCTTAACGGGCTCTCCGTGATCCGCATTGGAGGTCGAGTTGTTTGCTTGCGGTGCCACTGCAGACTGCGAACCACGTCTGTCTGGTCGCAATGGGGGGGCGCCCGCAAGTCAGCGCATCCTGGAACGACCCCTTGCTGTCGGAGCGCAACTCACGACCTCTTGTGCTCCACCGCATCAAGTGCTGTCTTGAAGTCCATGGCAGCGATACAAATTAATGGGGTTCATTATGCTACGCGCTCTCGTTAAGCTCAGAACATGAATAGATGGTTGCGCGTAACGCGGCCAAATTCGAAACTCGCATGATCGTACGGCTGGTGCTGGTCAAAAGTCGGCTGCGCCAAACTGTATAATATGTATAACACCGGGGTTGCAAAATGGATAATTAGCAGTTCTGAAGCAGTCGACAGCAGGAGGAAGGCGGCGAGGAGGACAGCAGATGAGGAAGCGAAGGAGGACGAGGGACGGCGAGGAGACAGAGGAGGACCGAGGAGGAGGGAGGAAGGACGGATGGCAAGGGCGAGGAAGAGGGAGGAAAGGGATGGACGGAGGAAGCCGCGGGGGACAACAAGGAGGAGGAGAGGGCGGAGGAAGACCCCGGAACTCTGGGCGTCATAAGAGAGGTCCGTGCGATCCCTGGCTGCACCGAGAGTCCTCTGCAGCCTGCCGGAGACCCCCGGAGGTAATCGAACACGTAAAACTGAGAGTGGGCCCCAAACAGAGGCTCCCAAGCAGTAAACCCCAAACAGGAAGCCATGTGGTGCGGCCTGCGCACGGTGCAACATGCGTGCTGCTAGCCACAAGGGTACAGTGGTGAAAGCTATGTGGTGTGAGCCAATGTGCTTCCACCGATGTGATGCAGCATGTGTGGTGCAGGCTATGAGGTGAGAGCTATGTTGTGCCAGCTGTGGCAAAAGCTGCGCAATGCAAGTAGAGGGCTACAGTACACATCACAGATGTGCGTGGTGCGCTCAGTGTGGCGCAATCTGCATGAGAAAGTTCTGTGGTACAAGACGTTGTTGCACACTGACTACACACCCCATCTCAAACACGAAAGGGCGCACGGTTTGTAGCCTCCCGCGGGAGCTCACCAAGACGGCCTCTACTGAGGCCAGTTCTAGCAGCAGCGATCTGCCACCGCTCCTTCGCGTGCCAGGCAGCGCGCAGCGATAGTTATGTGGCACAAGCTGTGTGTCGCAAGCTGTGGAAAACCAACAGGTGGCGATACCGCTATTCCCCAGACCTCTCCTGGGGTGCGTTCTGACCAGGATTTCGAGGCGAACCCAGCGGTGGGGACGAGGACCGCCCAGGAGGCTCCAGAATGGGGGAGGCGAGCGAAGGGTAGAGGTGTGGGTACCTTTTCCTCTTCTGAGAAAAATGTGTGGCACAGGCTGTGTGGTGCAAGCTCTGCGGGCCCCCGCCCACGAGACGACCATGGGACTCGGGCCGGGCGAAAGGGGGGGATAGCCAAGGGCGTGTTTGAGACTCAGCTCACGCAGCTGATTTTCCAAGAGGGGGGTGTCCAAGAGGGGGGCGTGCAAATCATGACCGGCGGCATGTGCGCGGCCAAGCGGGGGGGGC